GTCACGTTGCAACATTAATGATTGAACTCAACAATAAAGTTAGTTCACTTTTAATTTATTGCTTTGCTCATTTGTATGTTCTTACTCTTACATTATATTTACATGAGAACATAGTCAATAAACTGTTTACTAATTAAGATTAGTAGATATTTAGTATAATTTGATTTCTTTCATGTGGTTCTCTATGCTCAAATCTATCTCAGCATTAGGATCTACTTTTACCAAATTATTTTTGGGATACATCTGGAATCGTGAAAATACTTTTCTTTTAAAAGAAAAATTACCACATAGCGAAGGGCAGTTGTGCCAAGACTTTTAAGGTGTGTTTGTTTAAAGATAGTTGGAACAACAAATGCATTTGCCACATGTAGTTCTGGCTCCTGCTGTTGCAACAGCCTAATTTGAATGTGGCTGCAACTCCCATAATTTTGTCTTATTTTCTTTTGCAACCTTTTGGTGTTGCAACAACACTCAGCCAGAAATGTAAGTTGGAATTTGGATATAGTTAGAACAACATGGTGCTCCAACTACACCTATCCAAACACACCCTTATATTCATGGCAACTAAGAAATGAGTTCATATAAATAAATTTAGGGGAGCCATTTTTCTATAAAATTTTCATAAAAATTTGGAAATCTTGAAAATGCTTAAATTATTGTCTTGTAGGCGGAGCAGTTGTTCTGAAAGCTTATGTAGTAACTGAAAGTTGATTTTTATTAATGAAATTTTGGAAGGCTTTTCTAAAATTACTTAATATTCGTAAATTTATGCATTGAGGAAAGATTTTTGATATCCATGTAATATTATTACAAAGGAAATTATTAATTTTGGTTTTCTTTTTTGTCAAGCAACTTATCATCAGCTGTGAATCATGGACTGTATAAAGTCACATGGAGATTACAGAGAATGATTTAATATCAAATTAAGAAACTCTAAAACAATAAAAAAAAGCAAAAGGGAAAAAATGTACTGCCCCCAACTAATGGCCCTGTAGGCTGTAGCAAAGGCTTCTTAAGTATACATTTATTATATATATACTTTTTGGTCCTCTTTTTATACTAATGATTCTGCTGCAATTTTCTTTAATAGCGGGACTTTCTATTTTATGCAAAATAGATGGTACGCCCAAGTTTATATTTGTTGCTGACTGTTTGAATTTTCCATCTGACATGAACATCCATTAATCTATGAAGGGTCATTTGCACTTAGATACCCAAATCACACCATTATTTAACTTTTTGATACCCCCAAAGTCTTTTTTTTTTTTCCTTTTAGGTTGCTGTTTTGCTGAAAAATATCCAGAGTTTCACAACACAAAGAAGATACCCTAAAATGAGTTAACGGGGGTGGATGAAATTTAAAGATGTCAATTATGAATAAGAGTGTTTCTAATAATAGGATGACAAAGAAGTGCACCTTTTAAGATATATTGGTGGCTTTAGTTGAGGATACAAAAAAGTGGTTAATAGTCTAGGACTCTAGATGGGTCTGACATTTGCAGCAGACTAATAGTTGCACAAGGTAGGAGTGATGGTAGGACCATAATAGATAGATAGATGGATAAGGGCTCTGTCTAGCAATCAACTCAAACGGAAATGAATTGCGGTAGGTAACAAAGGATATAATACTTATTCACTTAACAGGAGATGACCAATGAAACAAGTATTCATGTAAATATGAACTAATTATAAGATTTGGAGTAAGAATATCTTCTCGTTTAAGGAATCTAACAAACATGCGTACAACCATATTTTGAGATGTTTCTGTTGATATGTGTATACGTATGTAGTCAAAATTTAACATTAGCATCTTGATCAATGTTATTTAAACTGTTAACATCTTTCATATGAAAGTGCCTAACATTTAGCTGTAGGGTGAAAATCCTTTCAACAGTTGTGCCTAAGTATAGTAGGGCGAAAATCTTTCATATGTATGTAGTCAAAATTTAACATTAGCATCTGGGCCAATGTTATCTAAACCATGGACATCTTTCATATGAAAGTGCCTAGCATTTATCTGTAGGGTGAAAATCCTTTCAACACTTGTGCCTATGTATAGTAGTGGCATGAATCGTCCTCAGCCTAAGTAAACTATGTTTATCACATAAAACATGTATACCTACGGAACTTCAAACTTTAGTGTATGCACTTGATATGATGACTAGACTAGCTCATTGATTTACTTTCTCCAACACTTCCACTTCCTGATTTTAAGGGGTATTTGGCAAATTGAGAGTGAATTGAAAGTGTGAAATTTACTTTTTTTTTTGCAAATGACTTTAAATCATGCAAAATTGCATTAAATCCTATGTGGCATGTTTTTTTTACATTTCACTTTCACTATTATTTTCATGTAAACAAATAACTTGAGTGTTAGAGGTGAGTCACTTTATCTTTCAATTTACATGCAAGTGGACACTCCCTTATTAGTCAGTGCTGCAAGTCAAGTAAAACCCTAAAATAGAGTTTTGGCCATGTCATCTTAACTACTGTGCTCTCTTGTTGCCCATATAGCAGATTCCACCAACACGTGCAAGATCACCAAAGCTTGGACGCCATAAACCATCCACTGCTATTGCTAACAGTTCTCCCGAAGGTAGCATCTCATCTCCCAGAACAAATCCTACGAAGTTGAACGGGGGTCTAACAAATGGCACAGGTGGCTCAATAGCTATAAAGAAACCTTCTCAGAAATTAAGGGCTTCAACTTCTGAGACAAAACCCCTCAGTTCAAAACCTAAAGTCTCGAACCAAAAGCAAAAAACTGGTAAACCTAGAGTAGAAGGAATCAGCGATAAGACCACGAACGAAGACATGCTTCCTAAAGAAACCGCTAGAAACGAAGCTCATTCTTCAGAGAGAGCAGTAGAAGGCCATACTGAGGCTGTTCTCAACTCCGCTGAATCTGGAGTTGCTCCAATTGAAGTTCCTGAGGTCCCCAATGTGGTTACTGAGGCTTCGAATGAAGAATGAAGTTCACTGAGAAGATTGAAAGATTGAGATTTGAGTCTCTTGTGCTATTGGCAACATTTGTGAATAGGCAATGGTGTGTGCCTCTTAAACGTGTATTGCTTCTTTCGTCATGCATATCATTGTTGTTGAGGTAGAAAGATTCTTTCCTACAGTTCTGTTGGATCTTGTTGAGTATGTAATGTAAATTGCATGTTCTGTCTTGAGATTTTTTGTTTCCTCGTTCAACACCGTTTTTGTATCATGTATTTTGAAGCTGCGAAAATAATCCAGTCTTGTTTGTGTACAAGTTACAGAAACCTTTCCGGTTCTCAGCAATGTTATTTTGTTGCTATCTTTCGATAGTGTTTCCTAATGCTTTCTGCTCGTGCACCTTTCGATGTGTATCAGTTTGTCATCTTTAAGTTTTTGCAAGTCCTTGCTGATTTTCGATGTTATGATGCTTGCAAGTACTGGAGGTACTCCTGAGAAATCTTTCAAATTATCATCAGCTTGTCACTTTTTTTACAGTTTATGTTGATTTGCGATTGATTATGCATTGTATTGGGAGAAATTCCTATTGAGGGCCCTCTATAGAAAGTCATAGAGGCAGGAGGAGGATGTAGTCATCTGGTCTAGTAAGATTTTGACGAATGGGTCAATGTCAATCATGTGAAAAATTACAGTTAGTGCTGTTAGGGTTTCTTTCCTTCTTTTTCTTAAATGATGAAACCATAAAGTTAAAAGGGGGTTTTCTGCTAACTTCTAAGTTTAAGGGGTGTCTTATGATATTTTGAAAGTTACGAGAGCTTATCTAGTCGTCCACAAGTTAAGGGGGGCATTTCTGATAACCTGCGTGCAATTTGGGGATCGCTGCACATAATCCCCTTGAAATTTGTTTATCTCACATAACCCCCTAAACTAGGGATGTCTCACAAAACATCCCCGAACTTTAGTTTATCTTACCTGCCCCCACGCATGTGATTTGTACATAATTAAAATATCTTTGAGTGAGGAATTTCCAGACTTTGTCACCTATCATTTATAGGCAACATACTCCTTCCTATAAAGTTAGGGTTTTTTTTCCTCTCGAAAAAAATGATAGTTAGTTGCTAAGTATAAACAGGGGGGTTAGGTGAGATAAACTAAAGTTCAGGGTGGTTTTGTGAGATAAAAAAGTTCAGGGCAGGTATGTGAGATAAACAAAGTTTGTAGAGGTTTTGTGCAACACCCCCAAAGCTCAGGGGGGTTCTGTAAAATTAAACCGTTGATTTTTAACATGTGCTTCCCACAACTCGCCAGTCCCGATCTGAACCGGACTCAAGCAATTTTAAGCGACTAAGGAACACTCTCTCTGGAAAACCAAGAAGACACCAGTAAACGCGGGGGCTACGATCCAATCCGACACGAGATCCGAAACGATCCGCGATCCGATACGATCCGTCGATGCAGTGATGAGAGGGTCCAAGATCTCGTCGTCGTCTTCTTTGCTTCAGCGGCCGACGGCCGTCCTCCTCCTCGGCGCCGCCTTAGTCTTCACCGTCATCCTCGTCTCCATCCAGTCCTCCCTTTTCACCCGTAAGTTTGCTTACTAACTCGAAACATCAAAAATCTGAAACGACTTGGCGCCCTAATTCTTGACTCTCGATCTCTGTAGGAAACCGCAGCAGCTCTGATCTCAACAGCGAGGATGTACGGATCCTGTCGCATTTCCAATCTCGAGTTCAGCAATGCGTGGTATGTTTTCATGATCTGGTTTCATGTTTTGGAGAAGTTACTTCAGATCTCTTGGTTGTAAAGTAGATCTGTCGGTTTTAGGACAATTTCATTTTAAAAAAGAAATTTCCTTTTCTTTTAATTCCGGCGGACTGTAAAAGGTTATAAAGAGGAAGCTCGACAATGATGTTATCTGTAACACTCTACTTTGATGAACTTACGTAGTAGCCCCTAAACGAATCAAACAATAAGCTTCATGGAAAATCCCATTTTAAAATCTCAAATTTAGCGCGCGTGCGCGCACGTACACAATTTTTTTTTGATGTAACATATGTGTTGGAAATAAACAGTTGAATTTAGCTAGAAAGTTAGAGGAAAGGAGTATCTGCGAGGATTTTTATATGTCAGATATGGTATGTAGCAGTCGGTGTTGATGTTTAATCTCAAAATATAACCTTCAATCAAAATTTTCGTAAGCTAAATTAGATCTTTACCTCTACGACAAATTGATGTTGACTTATTCTTCTTACTTCCAGAGAGGGAGAGAGTAAAGAAGAGAAGGGCTGAAGCCTGAAGGAGATGTAACATATTAATCCAATTAGTTTAAAAGCAAAGTAATCAAACAAATTGTGTAAGCCATTTGTAGGCTGTCTAAAAATCACAATAGATAGTTGATCCCCCATCAAACACCGATGATGGAAGTTACAATCTGACGACTTCCAAAAGGCTACAATTTGAGGACTTTCACGTAGAAGGCTACAATCTGACGACCTTCACGACAACTGATGAAAGCTCTAATCCAACAGCATTCACAATCAACATCGGGAGTTACAACCTGACGACTCTCATATTTTCAAGGAGCCAAGACGAAGATTACAAGAGGACGATCTGTGCAAAGCTCCAGCAAAAGAGACTACAAATTGACGCCCTCTTCATATTAAAACGCATATATCTCTCAAACCGTAAGGAATTTGGCAAAACGGAGGAAGCGAACCAAAGCCTCCGGCTTGGTAAACGCAGAGTTAATCGCTAAAATAGCACAACTGTGCGTTTTTAGCCGTTAACAGGCTTAACTCTGCGTTTTCAACATCAAAACGCAGAGTTAATCTCTAAAACAGCACGAACTGTGCGTTTTCAGCCTAAAACAGGCTTAACTCTGCGTTTTCAACATCAAAACGCAGAGTTAAGCTCTAAAACAGCACGAACTATGCGTTTTCAGCCTAGAACAGGCTCAACTCTGTGTTTTCAACATCAAAACGCAGAGTTAATCTCTAAAACAGCACGAACTGTGCGTTTTCAGCCTAGAACATGCTTAACTCTGCGTTTTCAACATCAAAACGCAGAGTTAATCTCTTAAACATGCCCAACTGTGCGTTCAGCCACCAAAATAGGCCCAACTCTGCGTTTTTAGTCTAAAAACGCAGAGTTCGGGCACTGAACGCTATTTTTTAGCGTTTGACTCGTTCAAAGCACGCAATGAACAGTTCCAGGAACTGTTTTTCCCCACGATTTGAGGGATTTTCGTCCCACTTAAGAGCGGATTAAGGGGGTGTTACCACCATTAATCCCCTATAAATGGTGGGAAACTCAACTGAGTTCAGGGCTCTGGGGGGATCCTTCTTTTTTGGGCAGCAAAGAAGCGGTCTTCGGCTAGCTTGGGATCGAATTTTTTCTCATCAACAAAGGGAGATTCGGTCAAAAGGGCTGGCATACTTTGGATCTGGGACTTGGCAGCAACAGAGAGCTTTGGAGATCAACGACTTGAAGGAGCTCTTGAATCATTTTGGAAGGCTTTTAATTGAAGCCTTTGAAATTATTCGGCCTTGGCTTATAACCGACTTTCGGTTCAAATCAACTCTTTTTCAAGAGGTCAAACTCGTTCAGAGTGATCAACTCGATCAGAGTTCAAAACTTGCTCTGCAAGTTCTTCTAAAACTCGTTCAGAGTTATCAACTCGATCAGAGTTCAAAACTTGCTCTGCGAGTTCTTCTAAAACTCGCTCTGAGTTATCAACTCGTTAAGAGTTATTTTCAAACTTGCCACGCAAGTTCTCCACAGCGTCAAATCGTGAGGAGAAAATCACGTTCCAGTGAATCAAGACGTTCGGATCGTCAACGAGAAGCAAACTCGACGCGAGCATTCGAGGGAGGCATCTCATCGCCACCGTGAAGAACCCAGAATTAAACAAAGGGGAGAATCAAATTCATTCTCCTCTCTTTTGTAATCGGAATCCAAATTGTAATTGATTTTGAGAGAATACAAGTCAATTTTTCTTTCATTGTCTTTTTACTGTAAATTTCCAACAAACACCATTGTCTATTGAGTGAATTGTCATCCCTAAGTGACGTTAAAGAACATTGCTTCCTGCAGTAATTAGAAGTGATATAATTTGTTTGTTACCTATTACTTGAAAAAAAGAGGAAGAGAGTGATGACAAGGACAGGGTGGATGAGATTGAACTGATGCCATAAAATGGTTCTCCAAACCTTAAATGTAAAAAAGCAGTGAAGCATGGAAATCAAACCAAAAAGTTATGTCAAAGCAGTAATAGACATTGATTCCTGTTGTAATTAAAGAACATACAAGTTGTGTGTTTACTCTCAGTTTTAACTGTGATGTTTCTTAATTTTGGATTGGATGGCTGACCTTGAACTGTTTCAGGCAAACAGAGGACTCGGTCTGACTGCAGATATCATTGATCACTGCAAATTGGTGCTCAAATTTCCACCTGGCACAAACAGTACCTGGGTCAAGCACTGCTCCATGCTTTTGTTCCATGGTTTTAGCTTCTTATTTTCTCTTTCGCATTTGTATAAGAAGTTACTCTGTAATTGATATTATTTCTCTAATCTTGATGTCATCTTCTTTCTCTACAGTATAATGCACAATTTAAAATTTTTGAGCCGCTAGAATACCATTATGATGTTTGTGAGGCCATCCTATTGTGGGAACAGGTTAGTTTTATTTTAGATGATAAGTATTTTGCTAAAACTAAGTCTGATGCTAAAATTGCTGAAATTCCCAGTACCGCAATATGACAACAGTCTTAACAAGAGAATATCTAGATGTCAGACCAGATGGATGGTTAGACTATGCTGCAAAGAGGATTGCGCAGTTGTAAGATATTAAGCTATCAAGTTTCATTATTGTTTTCATATTTGTTTTGATGTTCAACTGATGCATATGTGGCATATCAATGACTAAACAAATCTCTTATTTTGGGTTCTAGAGGTGCAGATAAATGCTACAATCGTTCCTTGTGTGAGGAGCATCTTAATATGATTTTACCATCAAAGCCTCCTTTCCATCCCCGGCAGTTTAGAACTTGTGCAGTTGTGGGAAACTCAGGAGACCTCCTAAAGACAGAATTCGGACAAGAGATTGATGAACATGATGCTGTATTTCGAGATAATGAAGCTCCGGTAAATGAGGTAACTTTCTGTAATTCTTGTCTGAAGTTTACTGTTGCACAATTGTGAATATATTTGCAATATTCTTGCCTATATAAAAGAATAAGAATCCTATGCTGAAATCTCAATTACTGACACAATATCTCCAATTAGACATCCTCGAACAACGCGGGTGTTAGTGGTTTAGGACTTCTAGGTAAGTTCAACAATTGGCCAAGAATCCTAAGTTTAAGGATTAAAGAGGGACTAGGATTTTGGGACCAAAAGTTTGGTTCTTCTGAAATTCGAACTAGAATTCTTAAATTAGATTAGGATTTGAATAATTTCACTGGATCATGAAATTGTTGTGTTAAATGGTCGAAAAGAAGAAAACAAAGGAAAAGGACTCTAGAAAGATACTACGTTCTTAAGGCATGATAGCTAGCTAATCAGCTTGATTAGCAGCTAAATTTATGGTCTTAAAACATTGACTTGGACAAAACATAGAACTTTGTGGAACCACTCTACTAAAATAGCCTGATTTCTTGCCTGAGTCGAGCCCTGATTTAGTCCTACCCGGAACCACAAATAAAATAAGTCTTGAACTCATTACTATCCTGCAGTCATGAGAATCATTTTTTCTGTCAAGTAATTACCAAGTGTTGTGATTTTTACAGAAATATGCTAAATATGTGGGCCTGAAAAGGGACTTTCGTCTTGTGGTAAGAGGTGCTGCTCGTAATATGGCTGCTATTCTTAATGGATCTGGTAAGTTCAGATTCTTATGGATATATATTTATTGTTTTCCACTTAGCTGCGGCAAATTTTTGTACCATCGACCTATAAGCTTATCCTGATAAGGATGAAGAATTGGTAAGTTTATGACAAAATGCATAACAGCTTTTACAGTACTGAATTAAACAATTCATTCATTGCAGATGATGAGGTGCTCATAATTAAAAGCGTGACCCATAGAGATTTTAATGCAATGATAAAGGTAAAGATCTAATAATTTAATTGCATTTGTGAATTTTCTCATAACTTTTCTCCTTGACATATTATTATTGGAAGATGTTTATATGTCATTTAGTCATATGTGTCAAGAGTTGGGTGAAGTTTAATCTTGTAAAATACCTGGTGATACAGGAGCTTCCAAATCCTGTGTATTTATTCCAAGGCATAGTGTTACGGAGGGGGGCTAAAGGAACTGGAATGAAGTCCATAGAGCTAGCACTTTCCATGTGTGACATTGTGAACATATATGGTTTCACTGTGGATCCTGGCTATACAGAATGGTTAGTTTACACTCATCAGCTCAGATGCTTGATTTTTAGAAGTCAACTGTTACTTCTATTTTGGAAAACTCATTTTAGATCACGTGGAAGAAGTTATAGAGGGGTGTCCTTTGAATGATAAGAAAGTTTCCATGTGCAAATACTCACTTGTATCTTCTCCATTTTATACCCTAGTGCGTCAAGTTAGCACTTGGATATCTAGGGCACTTAATGGATAGAATTTCGCTGTCAACAGATAATCAACCTTCTTGAGACTATTTTCAAACTTATAGCATGAAAAAAGAATCACCAAATAGATAAATGAAGATGGTCAAAGGCTTTTTTTATGTGTATATTCATAAAAACAATTGATAAAGACATTTAAAAGGGAAACAACAGGAATATATCTTCACATTCAGCATGCGAAAGCATCAACTAGTTTACATGTCATTCCATGGTTGACAATCCGGTATGGAGTTATAAGGAGCAAATTAACATGGATAATTTGATCCAAATATGCTCCATTTTCTTAATGCTTATGTACATTGCATCCGATGCCCATTTGTTTAAATATGGATATGGATATGATAGTGATAGAAATATCCTGGATATCCGAATACGAAACCAAATATACTGTATCTATCCTACTGCCATATACATTTTGAGTAGAGGATTTCTGTGATTTAGTATCTTGATTAAAAGACGGGAATACATTTTAGCATAAGAGAAGAGAACATCAATTTTTAGGTGCAACTCATTTTTCTTTCTTTATTTGTCTAGTTCTATCATCAACATTTAACTACGTATCTGAGTCCAATCCGAATCTGGATTCAGCCTTCAATCAACTTTGATCACCATAATATTCATTTTGCATAGGTGTCTCTTAAAAGAAATAAATGTGAAAATGATAATACTTTTATCTGCTCCATCCGAAATCACCTCTAGGTCATAACTTGTAAGGGACTTGATAGCGTCATTGTTGGTTAGTTTAAGATGTTGTGCAATAAAGCCTTCAGGTATGTACATAAATTCTTTGATTGACTAATCTTCTCTCCAGTGCGTGCACTGCAGACATAATTTATTGGCTAAACAATGGTTACTAAAGCTGGATTCTAGTTCAAAACAAATATTTCAGACTGAAGAAATGTGTCCCATATCCCTGTTGCAAAATCAACTGTGTAGGCTGTACTATTAATGTCATGTTTTGTCAACTGTCATCGGCTTCAGAAACTGATCCCCTCAATGAGGGTGAAAAAAACAAAGAAGGCCTGAAGAAATATTTTAACTACCCACATTTGAACTTCCAAATTTTAAAGTTATCTGAACCTTAAATGTTTGCTAAGAACTCAATACTTAACCATTTATGTCTGTCTTAAGAAACTATAGGATATTTGATGGTATTCCTAGTTGCATATTTAGTATTTATGAAGCGCATATATCATCTTTGGTTCAAATGAATTCTTTCATTCTCTTAACTTCAAATCTGTTCAGTAATTTCTGAATCCTGATGATTAATGTATAATCTATACAGGACACGCTACTTCTCCACTCCAAGGAAAGGACACAATCCATTACAAGGCAGGGCTTATTATCAGCTTCTGGAGTGCCTGGGTGTAAGATAATTCTCAATCTGCATCTCTTTCAAAGTCTCATCTCTATTTATCGATGTTTCTATCTGAATTTGCTACTGTAGGTTATTAGGATCCATTCTCCAATGAGAGCCGAGAGGAAACAAGACTGGTCTGATGTGCCCAGCAGAGAAGTCATCAGGAATGCTCATGCTGCTGCTTTGAGATTAAAGAAAAGCTCGTCGAGTGAAGCTAATGACTTGGGACCCTTTGTCAGCTGTAAGGTATGGGGTACTGCAAGCAGCAGTGGGCCCATCTCAGGATCTTCGGATATGAGCGAAACTCGAAAAAAATCCAACTATAACAAATGGGAAGTGAAGCCCTTTGAGAGCTTAAGAAGGGAAGCACAGGAACACTACTTTCAAATGGGTGGTGTTTCTATGTACAAGATGGATGGAAACAAATTGGATGATCTTGTTTGCGTGAGACATCCAATGCCATCAGAGAAGATTGATCAATAGAAATGCATGTTTCTTTGCATTGAGAAATTATTTTCGATGCTCAGAAAGAAGAGAGGAGGGGTGGATTAACGGCGGCGTATTCATTGTTTGTACCTACACGAGGGAACCTATTATCAGGAAAGTTTGTGTTTCAGGTATCAATGTCAATCGATCTTATAATGCGATGGTTTTAAGAGGGCGCTATAACACGATATTTGTTATTGTTTTTTTGGCTTTTTACGAGGATTATGACCCGTGCCTGTATGTTCTGACATCATAATGATACAGATAAGGTGATTTTCCGTATATCATTTAGCGAATATATTCTTCTAGGCGTCTGGTCTTTTGCGTTTTCAACTTGTAGGGTATCTGAACTTCAATAGAGTGTGTTTCCATCTATCGGTTGTGTTCCCTCTTGTTTTCTCCCTTAGGACGTACGATGCGTATATTCTCACGCATCATTCAAGTCCTGGAGAAAATCAAAAAACTATCATTCAAGTCCTGGAGAAAATCTAAAAACCTAGCCTTCAAGAAATACCGCGCGATGCACGCCCTACCAAAAAGAGCCGGCATCTGTGGTGGTACTTAGCGATTCGATCATTTTTTGTGGTTGATCTTTCTCACGCCCATCCATCTCATAAGGAACTATGCCTTCGATGCAGCAGATGATGCGCTCTGATCGTGCACGGTCCAAATATACGAAGCACCATTTGGCAGCACCAATGGCTTGGACCGCACTACCATGCAGGTGCAGCACGAAGTCATAACAAGGATCCGGCGCATCTTAAACCGATTGCCTGATACGATAGTCCTATTGCACTGATGCAGTATTGATAGTGACGACACTGATATTGTATTTTAATCGCACTGATTAAGAATTGATAGCACAAAACATGTCACGATCTATTTCCCCCATATATAATTCTATCTAGAAAAAACCTGCCCCGAAAAACTTTGTTTTCTCACAGCTTCGCACATAAACCATCATGCTCATGTTTACCCCAAAACACAATCATGGGATCAGCCATGAAAACCAAAGGTACTGCAACTTGTATAAAATAAGGATATCAGCACAAAGTAAGATGCTAGCACATAGTAAGATAACAATGAACCAGTTTCTGAACGCAGGGCAACCTCAAATAAACATGTTTTATCTCAAGTCATATTCGTGCATACGTAGAAGTTATACCATATAAGTATTCTTATGTTTATAAGTTGCTTATCAACAGATATACATAGTGGGAAAAGAAAAAGGGAATGCATATAGTCCAACTAAATCTCTTTCAACTTCTGTAGTTTCTTCTCGCCTTTTCTTTCCACACCATATAACTCAAGTCGGAAGAGAGTGCATGGAGAGCATGCGACTTCTACAACTGCATCTTGGAATTTCACCCCTGAATATCAGAACCATAGTAAATGTCAGTTTGCAGCGTAATTGCAAATAAAGATTTATGAGCAAAAACTAACATTACAAAAGATCACATGGAAAGTATAGTTAAAAAAAACTGCAAGAATTCAATTTTAATCTGAGTTAAAAAAAAACTGCAAGAATTTAATTTTAAACTGGGTTGCAAGCTTATCCAAGACTACTCAAGTAACAAGTATTGGTAGACAATACCACTTGGTGGACTTGCCCATCATATACACTAATAAATCATTAGTGATTAGCATTTTTTTAATCTTTAGAAATGAACCAATTATTTTCAAAATATTTTTTATGATCTCCATATACAGAACCATAGCAATTTAACTAGTGTCCTTTCTCGGCAAATACACATAAATAACAAGAAAGATTCAGCTACCTGTCAAAACAGCGACCTAGACGCATTGAAATGGTGATAATCATAAATAAATGAAATGATACTGCACCGATAAACTTAACTGAACAGGAAATTGAGAAAAGCTGACGCTCCGAAAGTACCCTCGACACAGACATGTACATTAGAATATTCCATGAGCAAAGTTCATACAGTTAGAACCACTATCCCTAATAAACAGTTGTTTAAGAAGTTTATCCCAGCCTAGGCAAGTGACCATCTGAAATTCTAAAGTTTCTTACGCCAATGTAGGTATGCGCTAGTGGTGCAAACACAGGCAAAAGTTAAATGGGCATGCTCAATACTCAATGCATCGAAATGTGCCCCAACTACTTGAGTCCCGCTCCATAGCTGCCTCTAACGAAGTGGAAACAAATATTTACTCAAGAGTTTTTTTTTTCATTTTACATAATATTTAATTTAGTTTATCTAACTTCCGGAAAATAGATCAAAGGCTCATAGCCTAGTGCAAGCAGGACTTGAACCCCAAAGGTCTTGACCTCTTGCACACTGCAAAGAGGCCTAACCACTGTGCTGCAACAAAACTTGTAAGATAAATTCAAGTTCAATGTCTTTAGATTACCCCTAAGAACTGTGAGAAACCCAACATTTTATCTTGATAGTTGGACACATCCATTGAGAAGCAAGAATAGTCATTAAGCTTGTAACCAAAAGTGTGTCATAGTCCATCATTTGTAATCTGACACTAGTCAACAAAATATAAGCTTCATCAACAACCAACTAAAATGGAAATTAAAAATTAAGTTGCAAGTTTTCTTATTATTATAGTTTGATGTCCAAGTTAAAAAATATATAGGATTGTGGTTGGATTGTGAAAAGTATTATGCTCAAGTCAACTGTCACTTTTTTTTTGTTTGTTGGTTTGTTATTGTTTTTTTTTTTGTGTGCGCGTGCGTGTGTGTTTTTTTTTTTTTTTTGGCTGCAAGGAAATTCTAGAACCTGATAATATTATTTACTATTCCAGGTTGCTAGCACTCTGTAGGCCCCATGACATAGGTTATGCATTTCACTATTTCTATCTATGTCCCATAGATTTTAGCTGTTCAATTCTGTATCACATTTAGATGAAATAGTGGCTCCATCCATCTCCATACATGGGTTACAATCCCACACCCTATCCCACCAAATCTGCATGTGGATTACATATATCGTAGATGGTCAACATAAACGACTCAAATCAGCATCCCAATTCCCAAGTAATCTTCAACAATATTCTTCAATAGAAGCAGATTCCTTTCATTGTCTGGTAATCAATGGAAAGCAAAATGGGACGATGAAACCTCAGCAAAAGAAGAGGCAAAGGAGGAGAAAGCAACATGTTTTCGTCGAAAGTCACCTTAGTCATTGATTTCATTAAACTTTAAGCGTTACAAATGAATTCAAATAACAAAAGAACAAAAGATTACAACTTTCTTGAAAATAAACGCAAGATCCGTTTATCGGCTCTTGCTTGCGTGGGTTCTTTGCCGGTGCCGGGTTAATCCGTGGACGACCTCGAATCAGATCCGGTTGCAGAAAATTTGGCAGAGCTTCTACCTCACCAAGGGGGTATTTGCTTGAAGTCCTGGAATCGACAAAGCGATATCAGGGCTCTTCTCGAGATTAAGACAAAGCCAAATCTCAAGGAACGGACGTACGAGCTTCGGATCCTTCGAACGGCTTCTCCTTTGCTCCGAAGTTCGCCGGGATCTCGCTGTCCTTTGCTGAAATTTCGTGCTCCTTCACTCTCCAATCCAGCAGCACCTCGTCCTCTTGATAAAATTCCAGATCCAGAAAATGGAGGCCTTTGGTTCATATTTATAGGCCTCAAAATGCGGTTATTTGGATAAGAACAAGGGATTTGGCTCTATCTTTAGTCAACATCAGCCTAACCACGTTTGAGGATGATCTCAAGTCAGTTAAGAACCCCTGGAACCGATAAACCCTGCAAAAAACCAATTAAAAACCGTCAAAACGTGTTTGGGACATTAGACTGCGCGGCAGAACAATCTGACCCGCGCTCGCGCGGGTCGGAATAATCCGACCCGCGCTTGCGCGGGTCGGAATAATCCGACCCGCGCTCGCGCGGGTCGGAATAATCCGACCCGCGCTCGCGCGTCCGGAAACATCCGACCGTGCTCGGACCGCGCGGTCAAATAATCCGACCCGCGCGTTGCCGCGCGGGTCAGAATCATCCGACCCCGCGATGCGGCGCGGGTCGGATGTGATCCGAGCCGCGCGCCTTGCGCCCCCGGTCGGATTGATCCGTTCCCGCGCTTTGGCGCGGTGCGGATTGATGCCGTCCCGGCGCTTTGCCGCGGGTCGGATTGATCCGTCCGCGCGCTGCGCGCGGGTCGGATTCATTCCCGTCCTGCGCTTAGCGCGGCGGTTCGCGCGACTTCCTCCATTTTTTGGTTTCTTTCTTCCGGGCATCTTTTCTTTGTTGTCGTATCGTTCGATTTGTTGACGTTGTATCTTCATCGCGAGACCAATCGTCGCAACACGCCGTTGTTAACATACGCGCTGCTGCATCGATGCGCAGCGGGCTGATTGACTGCGTGCGTTGACGGCGCGCACGAGTTGGCATTTGACAGTGCCACGTGTGTTTGACTGCTACGCGCACGCGTTCGATTGACGTGCGTGCTGCTTGACTCGCACGCACGAGTTTGAACTCGGCGTTGACCCGGCCGCACACGAGCTGATTGACGTGCGCGCCCCCTTGTGAAGGTGGGACGGAGTGGGTCCTGGCCGGGGGCGGGATAGTCGGGGAGGAGTGGGTAGGGATGGGTCGGGTGGCTAGGCGTCGGGCGGGGTCCGTGGGGGGGCCCCCCCCCCCCCCCCCCCCCCCCCCCCCCCAGTTGACTGGCGCCGCCACGAGCTGATTGACGTGCACGCGTTGACCGACGCCGCACGATGGTTGCGTTTGACGAATCTTCTTGACTCGCCCATTCATTTGCTTCCGAGCTGTTCGGCTGCGGGCTCTTGTAGCAATTTTAGACGCCTACAGATACCCCCTCAAAGTGTTTCACGCCTTCATCTTTTACAGAGAGTCTGAAACGCTTTGGATATTTTCATGGATCCCCACCTGCATCGAGTGTTAAAGGACCTACAGATGGTTTTCGATTCTTGACTTTCTCCATATTTTAGCATATTCTTGTATTTTGTCGAATAGCCTAAGATTTTCTCGTACTGCGTTTATCGTTCTGACCGTTATTGAAGCCTTGCAACCGGAATTTGCGTGGGCTCGGATTTTTGTTGATATGTCATTTGAGTTGAATTTTGGGTAATTGCAACGCGTCTGACCATGCGTTGCCTAGGCTACACGTTGCACCAGGCGTTGCCACCTTAGTGGTTCGCCGTTACCTGAGGAGCAACCCAGTTTAGACTCGTGCTACTTCCTGCGAGTTTTCGCGAACAGTTTAACCTCATGCTACCCGCCGGAGGTGCCAGGTAGGGCTATCCTTAAGAATTTCATCTGCCTAATATTCTCTAGGAGGGGGGAAACTTTCTGTCAA